TTAAAGTAGATCTGAGATAAAAGAAGAGAGAAAAGAGGAGAAGATAAAGAGATAATGCTGATAACTCTTTTTCACCGTTCATTTGCTTATATAAATAAGATTTATCATGATTAATAAAAGGGTTTAATGCTAAAATACAATTTGTACAGAGAATCTTTTCTCCACTACACGTTTCAGTTTCACCAAATTAAAATAAAAAACTACAACTAAATATATAATCTGTCATCGAGAAACTAAAGAAATTAATTGCAAAGAGAAATATCACTAAAAATAATAACCGACCTACTATACCGAGAAAAGTCCGATTTATTTCCGTTAAAAACTCTGGTGAAATAGCGATAATTGGAATGGAGAATTTTTTGACAAAGTTCCGACAAATTCTTTAGGATGTTCCGATAAAATAAAATTCTCGGGAATAGATTATTAATCGTGATAAGTTTCCGACAACCTATTCCTTCAAAATTCCGACAATTACGGTTCATCGGAAATTTTTGAGAAGTTTCCGACAAAACCAATAGTTTCTCGGCAATTCCTCACAAAGATGAAGCTAAATTACTGAGAACTCATTTTCTCGGAAACATTCGTCGGAGTTGACGCGTGTTTCTTGTAGTGTCAGGTTGAAAATATGGAACCCATGTACGATCATAAACATCTTTTGGATACCTGTCACAACTCACAATTATTCTCTTAGTATTAATTATGTAGAGTCAAACGAGTGTAACTATAAAGTTATATAAATGCAAGTTGTAATTCATACCGAAGAAGAGCAGTGGAATTACTAAGATACATACGAAAGTTAAGTTTGAGGGAACCAGACATAGCCAAGTAAGAATCACTCGCCAATGGTCGTAGTTCCAAAGTTGATATCATTGGTGTAGTTGCCCCTGTCTTAACAAGACAAATTTGCAAAGAGTTTGATCTTGGGATGTGAATGATCTCCTTACCTGAACCAGATGGTTCTTTTTGTAGATCTATGGTTGTCCACTTATTAGGGCCAATATACATATCAAACTCTGGGCTAACATTAAGCCCATCAAAGTTTCCATAGAAAAACATAGCTCTAATTAGATAATTCCTCCCTACTTCTACCCTTATATCATAGCAATTTCGTATGCCATCTGGAAAATATCGTAGGGTCGAGTAGGGCTTCAGGTTTTCTGATTTAAGATTTGCCGGGATTTTACCCATCTTTCCACTTTGGATGAAGTTCTCATCTGATGAGAACTGTATTTCGGTTTCCGGTTCTACATAAGGAGATTCATTTAAAGGCAAGCCACAATCTAAACTTATAAAACCTGTCAAGAAATTAAACACATGCATGATGAGAAGAGTGTCGAGGTCATGCATGGATGTATAGGGGAAAATGGGAAATAGTAACGGTACAATAAGATTAGCTAATTGAAAAAGGTAAGAATTTTATACCCTCTTGATTTTGTGCTTCAACAAGGTGAATGATGGCAAAAGCTGCTAGCCAAAACATGGCCAGCAATATCCGATGAGGACTCTTCATTATTTTGAACACAACAACGCGCGCATTAACAGATTAAGGCATGTATACATAGCAGTTGTATATGATATGATGACATATGAGCAACCTCCTCCAATAATGGTTACCAACATACCAATTCAAAGTCAAATTTAAGAGAAAAAATTGAATATATATCTTAAGTACTCTTGCATAAAAATAAAATTAAAGGAAGGAGTGAGTAATATATAACTATATAAGTAGGCGGAAAGTCTAAATGCATGGCGTACGTACGAACGGACTAGGTCGTCTATTAATCATGCTCATGCCGTATAATTGTAAAGCTTGATTATATAACTTTGATTGGTCGGTGGGTCCAATTATTTTTTTTTGGTAATGTATGATTATAATATAAGCGACTTGCCTAGCTTTTTTATTCCCAAAGAACTTGTCAATATCCAAAAATAATGGGCTTTTATAGTTAAAATGCTTAATGCATGAAGAAAGTTTTACCGAATCACATGCCCTGGAATAAGCATATTGTCGCAAACCTTCACCTAATTGAACTGTCATCTCCTACTATCTTCTCAAACCACTAAAGCAGTTATTTAAACATCGGAACAAAAGTCAACGACCACTCGAAAGTCATCTCTCTCCCTCTTTTGGACATTTCGTGCTAACTCATAGTGGTTACTATTAAAATCCTATACATTCCTAAATTGATAGGTTCTTTAAAGTAATCAAGACAAATTGAGCATTTTCGGACCCAATAACAATTGTTTCCACTTGCAAACATATTATATTAAGGGTCGTTTTTTTTGGGGAGCTAAGACATGTATTCACGTTATCAGATGATTGACTTCCAGCTTGGTACGGTCTTTTGATTGAAATGTTCAAAAGATTTTTTGCCCATCATCGTTTATAAACTTCATTTATATATAGCTCATCACTTTCTTGATCTTGTTCGAAAGTAAGAGAATATGGAGAGTTCCCATGGAATTTTTCTGGTTGTACTTGTGGGAACATTCGCTATACTTCACCTTGTTCAAGCTCAGCAAGGTATGTATCCACATGGAAATGTCTTTGCAAGTTTTTATATACTTAGAGCATCTTTAACCATAGCTCTCCTTTTGGGGTGCTTATTTTTTTTTTTAATTTTGTCTGTTTAAAAAAAAAAAACTCACCAATCGTGGACCGCCACGTGTCTATGTGGCCTGCGAACAATACAAACACTCAGCAAAATGTAGTGTTTTTTTTTTTTTTTTGAACACAACAAAATATAGTGCTTATTTAAGTTTTTTTGTAACCGAATCCTCCTCTTTTTATGGGTCTCCCTCCCTAAGTAACCCACTAAGCCCTCTCATTAATCTAGCCCTTAGAGCACCCACATTGATGAACCCCCCTTGGGGGTTCACACCAATAAAAAAATATTTTTTTTTATTTTCGTTTACTTAAAAAAAAAAAATATTGGACCAATCATATGTTGACACGTGGTGAACCCGGAGTCATCGGGGTTCACCGCGGTAAACTTTTGAGAGAGAGGTTCATAGAAATCTAATTTTAATATTATTTTTTTTCTCGGTTTGCGTGTGAACTCCCCTCATTATCCGAACTTTGACATGGAGAAGAAGATGCCCGTGTTTGAAAAAAATAGCATTATCGGTTTACCAAATGGGTTTACGACGTAACATGGCGTGTGATTTTTTTTTGTTTGTTTTGAAAATCATGTTACTTTATTGAGATTTCTATATTAATAATTTAGCTCGTTAATCACTGGGATATCCATCAACAAAATTCCAAACGAACCTAATTTAAAAGTAGATCAAACAAAAAATAATATGTTAAATGTCACACATTTTTCACGGTATATATTTGCTACTTTTACTAGGAATTTTGTGGATTTTTTGTTTTGTTTTAACGAATAGAGTTTCATCTTAACACAGGTTTCATCAGTTTGGATTGCGGGTTATTCCCGAATGAACAGTCTCCCTATACCGAGTCTGCAACTGGTTTACAGTACTCATCAGATTCAAATTTTATCCAAACTGGAAAAATTTCTAGGATCCAGAGAAGTCTCGAGGAAGATCACCTAAAGCCTCAAAGAACGCTTAGATACTTTCCAGATGGGATACGCAACTGTTACAATATTACTGTGAAGCAGGGAACCAACTATTTGATCAGAGTTAGAGCAATATATGGGAACTACGATGGTCTAAATCATTATCCTATGTTTGACTTGTACATAGGCCCTAATTTCTGGGTGACAATGGACACTCAAAAATATGTTCGGAAGGAGATCTTTCACATCTCTAAGACAAATACTTTGGACTTGTGTCTTGTCAAGACAGGCCCCTCTACACCATTTATATCGGCCATCGAAATAAGGCCACTAGCAAATAACACTTACATCACTACATCAGGATCGTTGAAGATGTTTGCACGGTTTTATCTTAGCAATTCAGACAGCGTTCTAAGGTGAGTCTGCTTTGATTAAGAAGTCTTTTATTTTTGTGATACATTGGTTAGTAAATTCCAAGAATCTGTTGCCAAAGAACATGTTTTCCGGGGTTTGGCAAGAAAACACAATTTTTTGGTTTTGATGAGAAAATAATTTTGAAATTCCGGTGAAAGTCGATTTTGCGATTTTGGTGAAAATATTAGTTTACGGTTTTGATGAAAAAATACAATTTTTTTTTTGTTTTTGAAGAAAATCAATTTGCTGGTCTAGTGGAAAAACATGATTTTATAATTTTAACGAGAAAATATGATTATGTGGTTTTGGAGTTTTGATAAATTAAGATTGATAAATCAGTCAAGACATAATGTTTTGCAGATAAATATGATTTTTAATTTTTAACAAAAATTCAATTTTGTCGATTTAGTGAAAAACATGATTTTGTAATTTTATAGAAAAACAAGATTATGCGGTTTTGATGTTATGATAAATTAAGATTTGATAAGAAGGTCAAGATATACAATGTTTATATATATGATAGCGTTAGGTTAAGCTTATTTTTTCCCGAAAAAGGTTAGATTTAATTTATTAAAACTGATTTAAATATATAAGAAAATAGATAAAATTTGGTTTAGTAAAACTAATTTAGAAATTCATTTTGGTTATTTTTTTATTTGTTTTATATCTGATTTAAATTTATGTTGGCTACAATTTTTTATTGGTTTAGTTGTAGTTATTTCATTGTCCATTCAGATCCCAACCATTTTAATCCGAATCTATTAATTCATTTTACTCATTAATCCATATATATACCTAACTATATATTTTTTTTGTCACAAAATATACCTAGCTATATATCCATTAAATCTATGGTTTGGATTGACCCATTAATTTTTATTCATTTTGACACCTTTAGGTACGAGGAGGATGTCTATGACAGAATGTGGAATACATACAATCTGTCAGAATGGAAGCAGATATCAACCAGTCTTACGGTGAACACTAATTCCAATAGTTTCCGTCTTCCTCAAGATGCTCTCAAAACCGCTGTAACACCTGCGAATGCGAGTGAACCATTGATAGATTACAAGTTTCCTGAGTCCCCTAGTGATAAAGTATACATTTATCTCCATTTTGCTGAGGTTGAAGTCTTGCGGGCCAATGAGACTAGAGAGTTCGACATTTCTTTGAACGGAGTGTCCATTAACGACTCTTACAGCCCTTTATATCTTCAGTCCGAAACGATACATAACCAGTCTCCAGTTACTTGTGAGAACCGAGAATGTATTATAAAGCTGACGAGAACGGGAAAGTCGACACACCCACCTCTGCTTAACGCTGTTGAAGGTTTTGCGGTTGCCGATTTTCGACAGGCTGAAACAGATGCAAATGATGGTACGTGAGTAATATATATATATATATATAGTATAATGCATGATTATAGTGTATTCCAATATGCTAAAGAAAATATCGTTTGAATTTATCACAGTGATTGCTATTAAGAACATCAGGACAGCGTATGAATTGAATATAATATCATGGCAAGGTGATCCATGTGTCCCTAAGGCGTTTTTGTGGGACGGCCTAAATTGTAGTGACACGGAAGCGTCTACACCACCAAGAATCACTTCCTTGTGAGACATTTTTTTTATGGAACATACAGTACTTTTCTAACTACATATATATTGCACTTGTTTCAGTGTGTATCTTAACATATAAAACAGAGACTTGTCCTCAAGAGGGCTAACGGGAACAATAGAAGCTGGAATTCAAAATCTAATCCACCTGGAAAACTTGTAAGTATGATCATTATTGCCACAAAGACGAAAATCTCTTAATAAAATTTCAATATATATATTTTTTTAAATCTCTACCAAATTTCAGGGACTTGTCAAATAACAGTCTGACTGGAGTAATTCCAGAATTTCTAGCTAATATGAAATCATTGTTGATCATGTAAGTTTCTAGCCATTATTGGTCGTATTCATAATCCTTGTTTAACTTCCACAAACGTATTAATATTTTTTTTCTTTTAATAGAAATTTGAGCAAGAACAATCTGAGTATTTCAATTCCACAAGCTCTTCTCAAAAGAAAAAAGGAAGGACTAAAGTTAATGTAAGAAAACGATCCCTTCATGCACATTTCATTGAAAATATCTTTCCTTTTGGCTTTTGCATATATAATCCCATATACAATCAATATTATATTCATTGTGTAGTGTTGATGGAGATGAGATAAATAAATGTCTACCTGGTTCATGCGTCCTAAAGAAGAAATTTCCGGTGATAATTGTTGCACTGGTGGCTTCAGCTGTAGTGGTCCTGATCGTAGCGGTGCTGTTTTTCATTTTTGTGTTAAGAAAGAAAAAGACATCAAGTCATGTGGAAGGTACGAGCATAGACTCATGATCATATCAACTCAACAATAGTTTATATATGAAACATGCATATGCCTTTATGATAACATTCTTTTACTATTGTTTTTTGGTGTACAGCTATTATCCCTTCAGGAGTTACGCCACGGGCGCATTTCACACCCACTAGTACTTCTGAGGGAACAATCGAGACTCAAAAGCGAAGATATAGTCATGCAGAGGTTGTGGAAATGACAAACAACTTCAAAAGAGCTTTAGGTGAAGGAGGGTTTGGCGTGGTCTATCATGGTTATTTGAACGGTAAACAACAAGTAGCTGTTAAAGTACTTTCTGAATCTTCATCACAAGGCTATAAACACTTCAAAGCAGAGGTACAAAATGCTTGAAATCTTCAGAAAATTAATTTTTCGTCAAACCAAAATGTGTGATCTACCTTTAGTAATGAGTGTGTAATTTTACATTGTTGGTATGCAGGTTGAACTTCTTCTGAGGGTTCACCACATAAATTTGGTAAACCTGGTTGGTTATTGTGATGAACGAGATCATCTGGCTCTCCTCTACGAGTACATGTCCAATGGAGACTTAAAATATCATTTGTCAGGTAGAACCTATACAGTATGTTACAATAATAATAATAATAATAATAATAATTATTATTATTATTATTATTTTTTTTTATTTTACAATTTTTCTTTTTAATTCCTTAATTAATACAAAAAGATTCAGATGATGATTGATTTAGATGAACTATATATAGGAAAACAAGGTGGCTCTGTTTTGAGTTGGAGTACTCGATTACAAATAGCTGTCGACGCTGCACTAGGTTCGTAAAAACTCTATTAACATTTCAGTTGGGTGTTTTCCTAGTCACTACACATTTCCTTAATTCATTAGACACAAATGATTCAGATATAAGTCTAGAGAAGGCTGATACATAAAAATGATACTATATAATATTTACAGGATTGGAATACTTGCATATTGGATCCCAACCATCAATGGTACACAGAGATGTCAAAAGTACGAACATATTATTAGACGAGCAGTTCTCAGCCAAAATTGCAGATTTTGGTCTTTCAAGATCTTTCCAACTCGAAGATGAATCACATGTTTCTACGGTTGTTGCTGGTACTCCAGGATATCTTGACCCCGAGTAAGTATTATTAATCAAACCTTAGAATTACGTTGACCATCATCTTTGTGTGTAAAATGAATACACATGCATCTTACTCCATGGTCTTTTTTTTTCTGGTAGATATTACAGAACTGGTCGTTTGGCAGAAACAAGCGATGTCTATAGTTTTGGGATTGTATTATTAGAGATAATCACAAACCAACCTGTGATTGACCAAACTCGTGGAAAGTCTCACATAACGGATTGGACGGCATTTATGCTTAATAGTGGAGATATAACCAGAATCATGGATCCTAAACTTAAGGGAGAGTATAACTCTCGCTCTGTCTGGAGAGCAATTGAATTGGCTATGTTGTGTGCGAACCCTTCTTCAGAAAAACGACCAAGCATGTCCCAAGTTGTTATCGAACTAAAAGAGTGTCTTGCTTCTGAAAACTCTGTGAAAAGTAAGAGTCAAGACACAAACTCTCACAGTTCCTTTGAAATGAGCATGAGCTTTGACACCAAGGCTGTGCCTAGGGCAAGATAACATTTGCAAAGAAGCCCTGTTTTGGGCCACGTCTTGATAAAATAATTCGAAAGGCCACATATTGTAAAGTATTTTGATGATGGTGTAAGTGTCAATAACGATAATTTCAAATATTCTAAAAATCATTATAGTGATCATATGTCATAACTTGCATGTTATAATGGTTCTCATATAATATACTAGTGGTCTGCCCGTGCTGCGCGCGGGTTGTTGGATATTTTTATTAATTTAAATTTAAAATTTATTTGTTGGTGGGTAATGTTATATTTTTGAATGTGGTTTGTTTATGAGAATGGTGGATTATGATATCAAAGTGATGGCATAATGGTTAGATGTTTACCATTTGGACTTTAAGTTAAAATTCTAGACTCGTAGATGTCATTATTTCAATGTAAAAGTTTTATTGTATCAGGATCGGGGAAAAGAGAAAATAGCTTTTATAGTTTTTCTGCTTAAAATTTATGTGAAAACAAAGTGTAACCAATTATTCGTAAAGCAAAATTGTACAGAAATAAATCAAATTGAGCAGGTAAACAAAAGCCGAAGTCTTCTTTTAGTCAAATAGATCACTGAAACCCATTATCCTTCTGTAGAACTCGATGACCAAAAAAAAGTGGAAACAGTTCGAGTAAACCGTGATATCTGTCCCCAGTTGGGGATGGCAGTTATAGGGTAGGAACATTTTTTTTAGTGACGTAAGGAAGATATCCTTCATTTCAAACTGGGTGTCCTGAAGAGAATTATGAAAAGTTGCCATGCAATCTTCTAGTAGTGGAATACCTTGCTCATCAGCGAGTTTTTTAATGGTTTTTACTCCTTTGTCAGTTTCTCCGATGACCATAAAGAGGACGCCGTAAACGTATCTTCCTTGGAGGTGACCACCATTTGAGGGTATGTAGATGTGATGTAGGCCTAGAGACTGATTGCGAGAGTTGAAGAATTCTAGCATGCCTTTAACATAGTGAGGGTCGGCATTGTTAGCGTTGAGGCAGTTTTGCAGGAAATTTGGGTAACGATGAGCTAGAGCAGGCTTCTTCACCAAAGATGAGAGGTTTAGATTCTTTGCAACTATGAAGTTTTCAGAACTGAAGCTGAGGCTTTTGGATGTCATAATTGTGTTGACGTAGTCGGTGGGAGAGTCGTGGCCAACTTTGGAAACAATTAGGAGACGCATGTCTTTGGGTATTAATTCAAGGGTGAGGGGACTTGTTGTTCGTGAGTCATGGAAATGGTCGGAAAATGTTTTTTGGTTTTTTTTTTTCTGTTGACGATGTCGTTCTTAGTTTCTGTGTGTTCTGCAGTTGTTTATATAGGACGGTGGTGGTGGCTCTGCGTGTGAATTCGTTTACGCTTTTTATATAAATTTATTATAAGGCATAATCTTGCGTTGAATTTGTATGTGCTTTTATTGTTATTATTTCTGCTGTACCGTTACACGTACGCTGGGTGGTCTTTTGTTACTAATTATTTATGTTCCTTATGATTTTGCTAGTCTTTAATATTTATAACTTACTTTGATTAGTAATTTATACCTGTGTATTTCATGCCATTAATTTCATGTGTTTCTGTTTTGAGGAAGATTTGTGTTAAAGAGCGTCAACATTATCGTTTTTAATGCATCCTCATATTTGTTGCTGTTTTTTTATTTGAAATTACGATGTTTGTGTTTTAATTTTATCTCCTCTATTATTACGGATTTCTTAAAGTTTAATTTTTTTTCTCCAAACGTTTGAATGGGTGTGGGGTCAATATAATGTTTTTGGTTTGGATGTTTTTTAAAACTATTAAAAATCTCATTTTTAATGTTCTCGTATTATGCAACTGTTGTTTGTAATGTATTCGATGTAATCGTATTGACGGAAGCGTACTTCTGCGAATTTCTCTCAGTTTTAGCGACGTTGTTGACGTAGTATTTTTATTGGTTTTAATTTTAAATTTATTGTTTTGTTTGGTTATTTTTTTTCCTTTTATTTTGTGTATGACAATGTTCTTAATTCTTTAGTTATAGATGTTTCTGAATGATTGACCGTAAATGTTTATAGTCTTGTAGATTTGTTTTTTCAATTATTGTTTAGTTGGTATTTTTTTTGTTTGTTTGAATATTTTTTAATGGTGAAATTGGTGGTTAATATTGTAGGGTTTTAAAGTTTCAACCTCGTTCCGTAGTCTTTTAAACGCGTATTGTAGGAAAAAAATAGTAGTTGCTTAAATATGGGAAAAGGGAAATGATAGCATTGGGAAAAGATGACACTACTAAACTGTGAAAGTAAATTTGTAGATCTGCTTGTAATAGTAGCAGTGCTCACATCGAACCCGCATATGTTATCGGTGACATGTGATTGGTTCTCTAGCCTCTCTGTAAGTGTCCATAGTGGCGTCTAGAGTTATAACTTGGACGCCATGAAGTGACTTCTTAATGTTTCTCCAGTAGGTGTCGGCACGTTTCTTGTTGGTTCTCCATCCGAGTGAATCGAGCATCATTCTTCCTATTTCTTGTTGTCTACTACACATCATTATTAGAGCATAAAGGTATATGGCGTTGTCGTACAAACCTTCTGCAGCGATTTTGAAATGAGGCAAACCAGCGGCGATGTTGTTGTGGTGGAAATATTCTTGTAACCCACGTATGTAGTGAGCTTGGACGTTACCGGCGTTAAGGCATCGTTCCATCAGATCTTTGTAGATGGTTAGGGTTGTGAGAGGAAAGACTGGGAGGGTGTGGAGATTGATGTTCTTGTATACGTGTGGATCTGCGGCAACGTCGGCTAGAGTAGGGGATGCTATAATGAGGTTGCATAGGGCATCGATTGAGAACTTAGCAGCCCGTGACATTATTTCTTGTTGGAGTTCTGTCGGGAGGAGCTCGATTTGAGCGAGAGTTCTTGTGCGGCGTTGCATTACGAATCTGCCAATTTGGTATTTTTCTGGTGATTTCTTTCTATGTTTTGCGTTTGTTATATAGAGAGTTTGGGTGAGGTTTGTGGAAGAATAATATTCTCGTAGTTATGATGTTTGAATACAGAATATTGGATAATAATTACATATAATGTTACGTTTTTTTTGATCGCTTAAATTGCGTGTTTTTAATTTAATAGGAATGTAGAAAAATGCCTTCACGTAAGGCTTTCAAATTTGGGCTTATAGGCCACCCTAAACCAAGCCCATCAACAAACATCAAACCAAGACAGCAAAACCAATTTAGACCAACACGGGATTGAAAATTTTTGTAGATTCAATTTAAAAAAATGATTGCTGAGGTGTCTTTTTTTGCCCCCCTCACAAAAGATGAGGTGGACACCCTAAGAAGAGAGAATAGGCAACTTTATTGTATAAAATAAGGAATTGAATATAATCCAACTGTAATGTTTTTATTGTTAAATTGATCTTAAGAATACTCTAATCCATTTTACTCTAAAGTCAATTTAGGTTTAGTTAGTACCTTTTAGACTAAAAAATATATTTTATTTATTTTGAACATAATATATATTTAGCTAACAATAAGCAATTACAAGATTATATTTTAAAAGTTTTATATAAGAATAGACTTTACACAATACAAATTTATTAAAAATATAAATAAAAATTTTCTACTTTCATAGAAGTTTAATTAGTATTATGTATATATAAAATTTTCTAAAATATCAACTGAAAAATAAGAGAGGAATTTGCATAAGACTTGGCCTAAAGTAAAACGGGGTTGACACCTCTTACTTAAAGAGTCTAATGCTCTTTGGACTACCTCCAATGGTGCTTTATTTTTTAATATTTTCTTTATTTTTGTTTTAACATTTCATTTTAACTTTTAAAAAAAGAAAAAAAACGATTTACTTCAAATTTGAAAATAATGTTCTGTTTTTCATCCTTTGAAGATGAAATTTGAATTATAAACTAATCTTTAACTTTAATTGGTTTTTATTTTTTGTTTAAATAAATCATAAATGTTGATGTTGACATTAATTTCAAAATATATTTATTGTATTTAGATGTGATTAGCAAAGAACATTAATATTAATTCTCAAAAGATTTAGATTTGATCTAAAAGAAACTATAATATTATTAGTTCATTTCACTCGGAATAACCACTTAATAGAAATATATATTTGGTGTTTATTTATAAAATTTAATATTTTTTCTTAATTATTTATGTTAGGTATAATAATTGTATTATTTAATAATGTTTATGTATAATAATTCGTAATTGTGTAGATGACTTTTAAAACCAAAATCGTTAGATAAATTAGTAAATTTGAAAAAGACAAAGTATTATAATAATTAACTATAAATAGTAATGAAATATTTTTAAATTTTTAAATTTTTAATTGACAAAGAGAAAATGAATAAAATATTAAAGAATATGTTGCTTTTTGGATGTAAAAATTAAAGAGGTATCCTTAGATTTGGTTCAAAAAAGAGAGATACCCTTAGACATATTTCAACATGGGGTTATTTGCCAAACAACCAAAAAAAAAATTAGATTTTAAGTGAGAGGTTAAAGAGATGGGAAGAAAGGAGAAGTGAGAGGGTATTTTTGGTTAGATAGTGAATTTATGTTCTTTTTATATGTTACAATTTTCCTTTAAACATCGGGATAAAAAAAGTCAACGAGCACTCAAAGTCCTTTTGAGCATTTCGTGATACTCATGGTGGTTGCTTTTAAAAGCCTATAAATCCCCAATTTTGTTGTGAAAGCCTATAAATTCCTTTTGATAAAAAACCCTATAAATTCTTAAACTGATAGGTACTTTAAGGTAATTAAGACAAGTTGAACATTTTATGATCAAATAACAGTTCTGTGCCCACTAGTAAACATATTATATGTTTGCACAATTTAATTTATTAGTCTTTTAAATTTCTTTTCGGGGGAGCAAAGACATGTATTCACGTTTCCAGAGGATCTGACTTGCTCCTTGGTTGGGTATTTTGTTTGAAATGTCCAAAGGGTTTTTGAGCTGATCATCGCCTATAAATTCATTTATACGATCAGAACTTTTTCATCTTCTTTGAAAAATAAGAGAATATGAAGAGTTCCCATGGGCTTGTGCTAACTGCACTTATAGCAACATTCGCTATAATTCACTTTGTTCAAGCTCAGGAAGGTATGTATTCACATTTTCCATTTTTAGTATCTTACCCTCCTAGAATAGAAAATGGACGCTTTTAGTATATTTCCTATTTCCATCTTATTACAAAAAAAAAAAAAAACATAATTTTTCTACTTAGAGGAATTTGCGTCGTTTTTAAAATTAACCTGAGAGTATTCTTTATTTATAAAAGATTTATAGAAGAGTCAAGATTCATTCCAAAATACAGTCTATAGATGAATCCTCTCACCTGGTATTCAAATAAGTCATAAATAATAGATTGTGGCCACATAAGAGAATGTAGTGGGGTAAACCGAGTTGATTAGCAACCAAAAGCTCGCGTGGTTTGGATTGACATAGTTGAAAACGTTTATGAGATCATATAGATTGTTGAGGATTTCTATACTACTAAAAAATTGTATCTCTACCCATGAAAAGTTATTTACCAGTATTCTTAGCAGTTAGGAAAGAGAGTATTTGGGTCCCATAGAGAAGAACACACTTATAACTGATATAAATAATGAACAATTTACCCTAATCATATAGAACATCTCCAATGGAAAATTCAAAAAAAGAAGATCTCAATATATATATATATATATGTATATATTAGTATTGTTATTTATTTATGGGGTCTTCAAATTAAAGAAAACCCAACTGAAAATATCTCAAATAAATAATAATATTAATATATACATATAATTATATGTATTTTGAGAAGTCTATAAGTTAGATATATTCCAATAAAGTTACTCTTACTATTACATGATGTGTATATTTTTCCGTAACACGTAATTTCTTTTGTGGATATCTAGTTTATTAGATTGATGTTTTAAATGGGTTTACCCAATATGTTTTCATATCTAACTCAAATTCACGGTCGAATCGATAAATTCAATGGTCTTTATATAATCCGATTTAAATTTAATGAATATCCTACTAATTAATATCCTAGTAAAACCCGTCAAAGCTCGGTTAAAAACGAAAAATTCGTTATTAGTCAGTAATCCGACATTAGTTAATAAAGTCCCAAAACATATTTTTTTTTATAAATTTTGACTAAACTCCCTATATATTTTGATAATAACTAAATTGTTTGATTTGTGATTCTTTAGATTTCAATTAAAATTTATCAAGCCAACTAAAGAAAATTAAAATGAGGATATAAAACCATAATTGATTCTTGTAACCAGTATTCCCTCCGTTTCGAATTAGTTGTCATTTTAGAAAAAAAATTGTTCAAATAAGTGTCATTTTAAAGTTTCGAGACAAAATTTATTAGTTTTATATAATATTCTATTTTTCTATTGGTTGAAAAGTGGTTAGGTGTATAGGTAATTGTATTTTTATCTTAAAAATATGTTAAATTAAATGTTTCCTTAATCTGTATGCAAAAATTTAAAATAACAACTAAAATGAAACGGAGGGAGTATTAACTAATTTTAGTTTTTGCTAATTTAATACTCCCTCTGTTTCAATATAAGTGTCACTCTACAGCTATGCACACGGATTAAGGAAACAATTAATTTTACATATTTCCCATATAAAAATACAATTACCCATACACCTAACCATATTTTAACCAATAGAAAAACAAATTACATAATAAAATTAATAAATTTTGCATTGAAAACCAAAAACGACACTTATTTTGTAACACAAAAAATTCTCTACAACGACACTTAATATAAAACGGAGGGAGTATAAGTTTATTATTTTCCTTTTCGTTTAAATTGAAATCTTAAATATATAATTTTATTATTTATTTATTATCTTAGTTATATTATAAGTCCTAACATGGTATCAAATTAATTAAATAATTTATAATTTTGGAATTATGCATGTCAATTATTTTTAATAAAATAAATATAATTTAATTTTAAATAAGTGGAATTTTTATGTTTATCTTAAATATCTTCCAATAGTTATATATATATATATATACATATAATAGTATTTATTAATCCACTTTTCAACCACAGTCGGGTTTAAAATGTTGCATGTCATTTGATGGTTACAGAAGACGTGATTTTCTTGGTATATACTACATTCTCTGGCGTCTAATTTAGAGCATCTCTTACTTCTACTTTGGTAGATCAAAACAGGTAGAAACGTCTACTACTATTTTTTATTGAAATATATTACTTTTGTATTAAACATTTAAACAAAAATCTCTTTGCCAATGAAAAAAAACCAACTGGAAACAGACTACATGGTCAATGTGTCTCTCACTTCTATACCTTTCTCCTCTTCTGTGATTATTTTTTAATAGTATTTAGTATGAGAGAGACTCGGTGAAGTACCACCAATAGAGGTGCTTTTATCAATTGGGTTTCTAGTTAAACATTACGTAAAATGAGCGTGTGATTTCTGTTTGTTTTTTTTTTTTTTTTTTAACTCAACATCAACTTTTCATTAGCCAAATGTTTTGGATACAAACAATTGTGACCACAATGCCTCAACAGAAGCTTTAACCACAATGTGATATATGGAAGTAGATATAGCATCATCTAGGATCACTTATTTGGATCCTACATTACCTTATCTAACTACCGATCACTTTGACCTCCATGGAAGCAAATTCACTTTACCAAATTGGTGAAAATGAACTGTCCCTTAGACCACTAATTACAAGAGCATTGACCTAATCTTAAAAACTAAGACCTAACAGAGGAAATATTCTAAGACCTTGCTGGAGATCACCACTTGATTGACATTCATAACTTGGATCATACCAACTCTTCGCCAAGGCGCATGCTTCACTCTCAGGCCCCACCAAGATATCAGTCGTACCCCAGCCTTATTCAGTGGACTCCAAGTCTAAAGAACTACTAAATGAGAAGATACCTTACTAGGCAGATTCTTTTCAAACACAGAGATAGGTTCCCCACCAAACTGGTGCGTAAACTGTCAGTCAGGGCCTCCCATCAAGAGTTTCTTATCTTGAATCCAAAACCAAGCCGCCGGAACAGAGTGAAACAACATCTCCAAGAGCATGAGTTTCAGTTCTTCCGGAATGAAACAAGACGGGTTCAGATGTCAAATCCAACTGGAGCTCATCCACTAAAACCTGTAAAAGAACACAATAAAGCTTGGGAAAGAGCTACAATAGTACAGATTAGACATCTTCGGAGGTACACGGAGCGACAAAGGGAAAATAGCTCCGTCCAAAATCCAACCCTAAAAGCCGACCTCCGTAAACGGCACCTTCCCGACTCAACTCGCTGTGACTCCAGAAGCTCGGAAACCGTACTACACGGCCAGATCTGAGATCTGAAGAGCCGAAGAGACCAGAGTTCACACGCATCTCGCAGAGAGGAAGGAACGCTTACGAAGGCAAAAAGAAAAAAAGGAAGGGGAAAGGGTGGTTCTCCGGCGATGACACGGCGTCAATCGCCGGAGAAACGCGGCGGCTAGGGCTTCTGCTGACTCTCTCTCTCTCTAAATCTCTCTCTCTAGATGTGGTTCCGTTTAGTGCATCCTTAATATTTCTGTTTGTTTTGTTTTGGAAAAACTTGTGATCTTTTATTATATTGCGATAACTTAGAGCTCGTTAATTGTCAGTGTATCCACTAACGAAAAGTTCCAAACGTACGAACATACTTTTAAACGTAGATTCAACAACATAATATGAAAATTTCTTTTTTTTTTTGATAAAAAAAGATTTAAAAAATGAAAATTTCACCATAGTTTTCAAGGTACATTGTTTTTGCTACTTTTTCTACCATTTCTTTTGCAAGTGTCATAAATTACCTAATTCGCTAATTAGGAACTGTGTGGAATGTTCCACAACTCTTTGTTTTGATGAATGGGGTTTAATTGTAACAGGGTTCATTAGTTTGGATTGCGGGTTGCCCCTCAATGAACAGTCTCCATATACCGAGTCAAGAACTGGACTACCGTATTCATCAGACTCAAGCTTTATCCAAACTGGAAAGATTGGTAGGATTCAGCGAAATCTTCAGGGAGATTATCTAAAGCCCCTAACGACAGTTAGATACTTCCCAGACGGTATACGCAACTGTTACAATATTACCGTGAAGCAGAGAACCAACTATTTGATCAGAGCTAGAGCTGTATATGGGAATTATGACGGTCAAAATCTTCAACCTAGATTTGACTTATACATAGGCCCTAATTACTGGGTAACAATAGACATTGGAGAATATGTCAATGGTACATGGGAGGAGATCATTCACACCCCTAGATCAAACATTTTGAACCTATGTCTTGTCAAGATAGACACGACTACACCATTTATATCATCCATTGAAATAAGGCCACTACCAAATAACAGTTACATCACTACGGCTGGTTCGTTAAAGATGTTTTCGCGGTATTATTTAAGCAGTTCAAAATTTCCTCTAAGGTGAGGCTGCTATATGATTAAGATGGTCAAAGTCTCACTCTTTTTATTTTTTATTTTTAAATAGTGTTACATGGCTGATAGACTGATAAATCTAAAATAGTGGTAATTAACAGGTATCCGGAGGATGTCTATGACAGAGTATGGTTCGCTTATACAGAGAAAGCCTGGAAGCATATATCCACCAGCCTTGCTGTGAACACTTCCAATTTATTCCGTCTACCTCAGGATGCTCTAAAAACCGCTGCAATACCAGGAAATGCTAGTGCGCCATTGATAGATTTTGAGTATCCAACCTCCGCTAATGACAAAGTCTACATTTACCTTCACTTTGCTGAGGTTGAAGCCTTGCGAGCCAACGAAACTAGAGAGTTCGACATTTCATTGAACGGAGAACCCATAGAATACTCTTACACGCCTTTATATCTGCAGTCCCAAGTGTTACGCACCCCATCTCCAGTTATTTGCCCAAGCAAAGAATGCATCATAACGCTGTCGAAAACAAGCAAGTCTACACACCCACCTCTGCTTAACGCCGTTGAAGGTTTTGCCGTTGCCGATTTCCGACAAGCTGAAACAGATGATAATGATGGTACGTACGTAAGTGTATGGTGTAATGCATGTTATTTGAATTTTTCAATATATATATATATATATATATATATATATATAGTGAAACCTCTATAAATTAATTTTGTTGGGACTACACCAAAACAATAATTTTTTATTAATTTATAGAGATTATTAATTTATCGATATACTAATTGAACCAAAAACTCAATTTGAGACTATAAATATAATTATATCATTTTATAGAGATTTTTAGTGTATATTAATTTATAGATAGTGTATATACAGTAGAACCTCTTTAAATTAATACTCGATAAATTAATATACAGTAAATATTTCTATAAATTAATATAATTTTATAGTCCCAAATTAAGTTTTTGGTTAAATTAATATAATTTTACAGTAGAACTTCTATAAATTAATATCTCTTTAAATTAATAAAGATATAAAATTTTGGTGTAATCTCAACATTATTAATTTATAGAGGTTTCACTGTATATAGATATATGCTCAATGAATTTAACATATCGTTCAAATTTATGGCAGTGGTTGCTATTAGAAAAATCAAAGCTGCCTATGGATTGAGTATGATCTCATGGCAAGGTGATCCATGTGTCCCTCGAGCGTTTTTGTGGGATGGCCTAAATTGTAGTGATACGGATGCGTCTATACCACCAAAGATCACTTCCTTGTGAGATATTTTTATAGAAACCCCAACTTTTCTAACTATATCAATACATATACATTTCTAACTAAAGTATTGCTCCTCTTTTAATTTTGTATCTTAATACGTAAAACAGAAACTTGTCTTCAAGAGGATTAACGGGAGTTATAGAAGATGGAATTCAAAATCTTGCACATCTAGAAAAGTTGTATGTATAATCATTGTTGCAAACCGAACTAATTAATTTTAATCTTAATCTCATCCATAGCAAGTTCAATGATTTTGATCTCTTCCAAAATTTCAGGGACTTGTCAAATAACAGTTTGACTGGAGAAATTCCCGAGTTTCTGGCTAACATCAAATCATTGTTGATCATGTAAGTTTGAAGTTTCTGGACATTATTGGTCTTATTACTCCACACTATAGTTTTCAGCAATGTATGCATTTTTTTTCTTTTTCTTTCTATTTCAATAGAAATTTGAGCAAGAACAATCTGAGTAATTCAATTCCACAAGCTCTTCGTAATAGAGAAAAGGAAGGACTGAAATTAATGTAAGAAAATAACTCTATCCACGTATATACACATTTCATTAAAAACTCCCTTCCCATGTATATTTCTTTATATATGTATACAATCAATACTCTTTTGTAGCGTTGATGGTGAGATAACATGTCTATCATGTGTCCCGAAGAAGAAATTTCCGTTGATGGTTGTTGCACTGGTTGCTTCAGCTGTGGTATTGGTTATCGTAGTCGTTCTGGTTTTCATTTTTGTGTTCAGAAAGAAAAAGACAACATGTCATGTGGAAGGTACCGAGCTCATGATTAAACCACCAAACTCTTATAGTCCTATGCTTTATTAAGGTGGCATATATAACATTCTTTTACTAATTTGGTTTAGGTACAACTACTACCCCTTCAGCAGTTACGCCACGGGCAAAATTCACACCCACTAGTGCGTCCGAAACATCAATTGATACAAAAGAGCGAAGATTTAGTCATAAAGAGGTTATGGAAATGACAAACAACTTCGAAAGAGCTCTTGGTGAAGGAGGGTTTGGCGTGGTCTATCATGGTTATTTGAACGGTTCTCAACAAGTAGCTGTTAAAGTACTTTCTGAATCATCATCACAAGGCTATAAACACTTCAAAGCAGAGGTACAAGATTCTTGAAATCTTCCCTAAAAACCGTGAAACCAAAAACTGTGATGTACTTTTATGAACCAATGTTTTTCTTTTGTTTAAATTTCTTAAAATGTGTTAATTTACATTGTTGGAATGCAGGTTGAACTTCTTCTGAGGGTTCACCACATAAATTTGGTAAACCTTGTTGGGTATTGTGATGAACGAGATCATTTGGCTCTCATCTACGAGTACATGTCCAATGGAGACTTAAAAGATCATTTATCAGGTGGAACATATCACTTATAACATTAATATTTTAATTTCTTAACTGTTACATAAAAAGATTCATATGATTAACTGAGTTAGAGGATTCAAATATAGGGAAGCACGGTGCCTCTGTTCTGAGTTGGAGTACTCGATTACGAATAGCTGTCGACGCTGCACTAGGTTCGTAAGAACCTGTCCATTTCCATTCAGTCATCTTTTTCTCTCATCACAAAACATTTTCTTACCTCATTAGACATAAATAATTATTCACATATAAGTGTAGAGATGGCCAATACGTTAATAGCTATTTTCTTATATTTATAGGATTGGAATACTTACATATTGGATGCCAACCATCAATGGTACACAGAGATGTCAAAAGTACAAACATTTTATTAAGCGAGCAGTTAGAAGGCAAAATTGCAGATTTTGGTCTTTCAAGATCTTTTCAGTTAGGAGATGAGTCCCATGTTTCCACCGTTGTTGCTGGTACTCCAGGATATCTTGACCCCGAGTAAGTATTATTAAAATAACTTTGGATTTGATAATTATGGGCCATCATCTTTGTATATAAATTGGATACACATGTATCTTACTCCATGTTTTTTTCTTTCTCTGGTAGATATTACAGAACTGGTCGTTTGGCAGAAACAAGTGATGTCTATAGTTTTGGGATTGTATTATTAGAGATAATCACAAACCAACGTGTGATTGACCAACATCGCGACAAGTCTCACATAATGGATTGGACTGCATTTATGCTTAATCGAGGTGATATAACCAGAATCATGGATCCTAAGCTTAAGGGAGAATACAACTCTCGTTCTGTCTGGAGAGCAATTGAGTTGGCTATGTTGTGTGCGAACCCTTCTTCAGAAAAACGACCAAGCATGTCCCAAGTTGTTAACGAACTAAAAGAGTGTCTTGCTTCTGAAAACTCTGTGAAAAGTAAGAGTCAAGACACAAACTCTCACAGTTCCTTTGAAATGAGCATGAGCTTTGACGCCAAGGCTGTGCCTAGGGCAAGATAACATTTGTAAAGAAGCCTCGTTTGTGTCAACCGGCTTTTCTCCTAGTGGTATTTTCCCCTTCTCATATGCTCTGCTGATCTCGTGCTTCAGTTCATAATTAAACATGAGATGAAATGTTAAAGCTTTGCTTATCTCATGCTCACTCATTTATTATGTGACTGTTGTTTGGAATTTGAGTAGTTACCTTCCACACTCGTAGGTTATTTTCTTGAAAACCAATATGAATGTCAATAACGTTAAGGGCTACTACCATTGGAGCAGATGATTTAAAGTGCATTACGAGGTTTAGTTTGCCATGCGCAGCGATAATACTTTCTTAAAATTATGGATATTTATTAAATTTTATATTTAATATGTATTTTAATATTTTTTAAAATTTTAGTTTTATCAGTAAGAAAAAATTAAAATAATTATTTGTAATTAGTTGTTATTTGATTTAATAATTAAATTTTATTATTTTTTCTGTGAATTGAATAACATTCGCTGAACGAACATATTATATGACGATTATACAAGAAAAAAATGAAAACATGATTAGTTGTTTTATATCGAATTAAAGTGTGATAGAGTAACCGATAGATGTAGGTGCAGTTGTTTAGTCTAAGAATGACCAAAAGTACCTTCGAGCTTGAATCCGTTGAGACCACCTATGATCTAAGCCGTAAACAAGAAATGAAAGCAAATCTTCGTTTTATAAATCAATAATAATGTGTCTCTTTACAAAGCCTAAAAAAACTCTATATAGCAATAGGAAAAGACCTAAGTCCTTAAAGATTATGATCTAAAAGTCTTAATTCTAATCTCATAAGTAAATAGGAAACTTAAGGATTATTTATAGGTAGAATAAATAAGTAAATATAAATCCAAAACCGAAAAGGAAATATAGTCCACGCTGCATCAGATCACCCGAGGTAGAGAAAGATCCGACTGCGAATCTGCATTGTCATCCTGAGACATGAACGGAGTGAGATGTTGAAGACGTCAGAGTATCGAGCCTCCGGCGGTAATTGGAGACGATAAGCGTTTGCATTGATCTTCTCAAGAACTTCCAAAGGACCAACTTTGCGAGAATTTAGCTTGTTGTAATCTCTCAGAGAGAAGCTTTCACGCGTTAAAAATGCCCACACGAGGTCGCCAACTTTGAACTGTAAATCCCTCCGATGCCGATCAGCATGTTCTTTGTATTTTGCCGAAGAAAGCTGCAAATTATCATGAACCTTAGCATGTATCGAAGTAACATTAGCTACAAAATCCATTGCTTGACCATGCACTCGTGAAATATCTGGAGCAAGACCAAGATCAATTGGTCCTCGAGGAACGATGCCGAAGACAATTCTGAAAGGACTGAAACGTGTACTTTTGTTGATAGCGTGGTTATGAGCGAACTCGACCTGACACAACACTGAATCCCACGTACGAATGTTGTCTACAACTATGCAACGAAGCATATCACCTAACGTGTGGTTGGTGACTTCTATCTGGTCATCCGTTTGAGGGTGGTAAGCGGAGCTCATATCAAGTGTAGTACGAAGTAAACACCAAAGAAAATGCCAGAAGTGACTGAGAAAGCGGGAGCCCTATCTGAAACAGCTGATAACGGCAAACCATGAAGCCGATAAACCTCACGGAAAAATAGGACAGCTACCTGAACAACATCGTTAGTCTTTTTGCATGGTCTAAAATGTGCCATTTTAGAAAAACGGTCGACGACAACAAAAACAGAATCATGTCCCCGTTGAGTACGCGGTAGACCCAAGACGAAGTCCATACTAACATTGGTCCATGGTTGAGTCGGTACTGGAATAGGCAGATACAAACCACTATTTGAAGCGTGACCCTTATACCGTTGACAGATAACACAACGCTCGACAAACCGATAGACATCGCGACGCAACGAGGGCCATAAATAAGCATCGATAACTAGCTGAAGCGTACAGTCGCGACCAACGTGTCCTTCTTCATGCAAATCTTTAATGATCTTGAGTCTTAGACTCCCATCCGGTATACACAATTGAGAACCCCCGAAAATGTAACCTTTATGTAGCATAAACTCTGATCGGAGACTAGCTTGCAGTGACAACCATATTGGATCCAAAATATGGATCATCTTTGTAAAGATCTGGTAAAATAGTAAATCCAGGAACCGAAACCTGCATGGTAACGAGAAAAGAATGGCATCGGCTTAAAGCGTCAGCTACCTTGTTCGTCTTCCCAGACTGACGCTTTATCAAAAACGTGAATTGTTGGAGGAAGGCAATCCATGAGGCATGGAGAGACGAGAGCTTATCTTGACTGCTCAAATGATTCAAGGCATCATGATCTGTGTAAAGTATAAATTCTTGGTGGAAAAGATAATGTCTCCAGTGCCTAATAGCTTGAACAATAGCATAAAACTCAACGTCGTATGTACTGTATTGAGCTCGGGAACCTGCAGTCTTCTCACTGAAAAAGGCTATAGGACGACCTTGCTGACTAAGGACTGCCCCTATTCCTAACTTGCACGCATCGCAATGGAGTTCGAAGGCCTACAAAAATCTGGTAAAGCCAATATTTGTGCTGACACCAAACGCTGCTTAAGATCTTCAAAGGCCTTGTTAGCTTCCGGAGTCCATAAGAATGTTGTTCCTTTCATACAGTCTGTGAGAGGAGCCACAATATTACTGAAGTGATATACGAACCTTCGGTAAAAAGAGACGAGGCCATGGAAACTTCGGACATCACTGATAGAACGAGGAGTGGGCCAAGTTTTGATTGCTTCAACTTTCCCTGGATCTACCTGTAACCCCTTATCGGACACGATGTATCCCAAAAAAGGCACATGATCGCCCAAAAGACACACTTGTGTCTTGCCGCATACAACTTCTCATGACAAAGTACTTCTAAGACATCTCGTAGGTGAGATAGATGGCTTGACAAGTAATGACTGAAGATCAAAATGTCATCAAAGTAGACCACCACATATTTACCTATAAAAGGGCGAAGAGCTTGATTCATAACTCTCATGAAGGTACTTGGTGCGTTGGAGAGTCCGAAAGGCATCACCGTCCATTCAAAAAGACCTTCACGTGTTTTGAAAGCGGTCTTCCATTCATCTTCTGGGCGTATACAGATTTGATGGTAGCCACTTTTCAAGTCTAGTTTGGTAAACATGGTGGCTTTGCCTATTTTGATCAAGTAGATCATCCAAACCCGGGATAGAGAATCTTTAACGAACTGTAATTTTGTTGATTGCATGACTATCAACACACATTCGCCCCGATCCCTCTTTCTTAAGAATGAGTAACGCAGGCACAACCGCTAGGCTTAAACTTTCCCGCACATGGCCTTTCTGTAGAAGCTCTTCATCCTGACGACGGATTTCATCATGTTCATGAGGCTCATACGATAATGAGGTCTGTTGGGAAGAACCGCGTTAGGAACCAGGTCAATATGGTGTTGTATGTCTCTTAATGGTGGTAACTCGCTTGGAAGATCGGTGGGGAAGACATCACTGAATTCTTGTAACAATGGTGTGAATGCTGGTGATGGTTGGTTTGTTGATGTTGTTGTAGCTGGTGATGCGACAAGGACCCAAAGAATATCGACACCGAGTAACTGCTTTTCAAAGTCGGTTTTTGGAAGTGTTAAGAGCGAGTTTAAAGATGATGTAGTATCCTTGTTCGAAGCACCAGTTGATCGTGTACTCATTTCAGGTTGCTCTTAAGAAGGAACAAGTGTAATGGTGCGATTATCAAACACAAAACTGTACATGTTTGCCTTTCCACGATGGGTAGCATCACAATCAAATTTCCAAGGTTTTCCTAACAGTAGGTGGCAAGCGTCCACCGGGATGACATCGCAGGTGACAGAGTCCTTGTACGTGCCAATAGAGAATGAAACGAGAACTTGCTTGGTTACCTGGATTTCAGTGCCATTGTTGAGCCAAGCAAGCGGATAAGGTGATGGATGGGGAGTCACTGTGAGGCCGATTTTCTGAGATGCTTCATATGACATGATATTAGTGCAACTTCCCGAGTCGATAATGAGTTTGCAGACCCAACCGTTGATGGTACATGTAGAGCAAAACAAGTTGGTACGCAGCCACGATTCTTGAGATCGATGCTCTCGGAAGAAGACAATTTCGTAGGAGAACCAAGTTAAGACCTGTATCACCTTGTATAACATCAGTTTTTTCTCCATTAGACGCATCATAATTGTCAATTTTCATGCTCTTTCACCACCAGTCCTCGCTTTGTCTGCTTAGGACAAGCCGTTTGAATGTGGCCACGTTTCCCACAAGAAAAACAACGTAGAGCATTGGTGCGAGGTGGCTGAGAATCAGCAATTGTCTCTGTGTTTGTTGTTGTCTTTGTTGTATCAGTGTGCTGCACGTCCGAGTTTTTGTGTGTGTTGTTCTCTGCGGACGGTTGAAAACGTGTGCGAGATGTAGAGGTCCAGGAGGAACGAAGTTGAAGTTCCATGGAGATGGCTCGTTGATGTGCTTCGGAGATGGATGATGGATTAAATTGGGCTAACGCCACTTGTAATTGTGAGCTAAGACCGCCAATAAACCGAGCAATAAGTTGTTGTTGGTTCTCTCCAGAAGTCATACATGCTGTCATATAGAAAAACTCCATAGCATAGAACGTGTTCCTTGACAAAGGTTTTGTAACTTGTTGTACAAGGTTCGTTCATAGTTGAAGGGCATGAAGCTCTGACGCATGTGTTTAGTCAAGCGCGCCTATGAGTTGATACGAGGTTTGTTCTCTTGTCAACGAGTCTCTTTGAGTTGTTGCCACCAAGCCATGGTGCATCCCTTAAATCGTGTTGCGACTAAAGGAACTCGTACATTATCTGGTACTTGGCGAAACTCTAAGATTTCCTCGACGATATTCAACCAATTGATGAAGTCTTCCGCTTTTAGAGTTGCCGAAAATTTTGGGATATTTGTTCGAAAGCTAGACTCCCAACGATTAGGTCGTTGATCATGTTCTTCTCGACGATAATCGCGTCAGTCGGCA